CGGTCATTGTTTGTAAAATTCAGGCAGTTGTCAGTTTGAGAAAGAACTATCACTGCTTTTCATATGCCATTCTTGGGATACAGGAATTTAGAAGTGAAGAAGAAAAATATATTTTTACTATAATGTAAGGCTGTTTGGTCGACCTTCACAGAGTATACATAAAGCTCATTAGAATCATCAAGGAACTTTAAAACTATTACCTATGTTCAGGCCCCACTCCAGACCCATCCAATCAGAATCTGTGGTGGCCTGGGACAGGCATGGTAATTCCCTCCCAATCCCATGCTAAAGCGCCCTCAGGGTCCAGGGGGAGGAAAGCAGAAGGCAGGCCTGGGGCTGCAGCACAGCAGAGGAACAGGCAGTGGTTGCCCTGCCTTCAAGTGGGCCTTCTCCGTTACCTGCACATCAACCACCTGTGCGGCAATACCACAAGGACCAGGAGGCGCCCAGTCACACACAGCACTCAAGGAAACGATCTGCCTCGTCTCTGGGCGTGTCTGTTTTGTTCAGGAAAATGTGAACCAGCTGCAACATTCTGTCCCTCCAGAGGTGCAGCCACACGGCAACATGGCTAAAGATAGCCCGGTGATTGTATGCTTGCAGGAAAGCACAGAATTAAGCGCAGCCAAGTGGGCGAAGGGAAGTCCATGCAGCAAGTGATTGTGGCTGTCCAGCCAGCTGTGGAGTTTCCTCTCGCCCAACAAATCAAAGCCCAGGCTACTCCAGAAGGGGATATGGAGCCCAGCCCCACCAGAACACCTCTGCGGCTTGGGAGGGAGGCTCATCCAGTCCTCTGCCCGTACCGCCCCCTGTCAGACATGCCTCACCTCCTCCACTTAGCCTAGTGGTGCGGCTTCACCAGCCAAGCTTTCCAGAAGCAGCTGTTAAGGTCTGTGCAGATCCATGGGCATGAAGTGGCAACGATCATATGTAAAATCTAAGGAAAGCGGCTTTCAGATGCTCAGAGACCTCACCGAGTCCGAAGACAGTCGCCAGCAAAGCCCTGATGAAAAGTTTCCTGAGCAGGACTGCTGCAGGGACACTGCGGGGGCCCTCTGACAGAGCCTGGCCTCACACTGGGCTTCTGGAGGGTCTGAGCAGCTACAGATGACCAGCACCTAGAGATGACAGTGATGCCGCTGGGCAGCACCGGTGAGCCAGGCCCATGGTGTCAACCAGGGCAGTCCCAGAGGGCTTCAGCCTGATGGGTGCTGCCCTAAGAGACCCGGGCCAGGCCTGCTCTGCCTAATTCCCAGCAGCGCCACCGTCCTCTCTGCAGCACGGCAGTCCCAGCAAAGCCCAAGGTGAAAGCAGATCTCACTGAGCAGCTTCTGCCCTCAGGCCCTTGAGACCATAGGCAGCGCTGAATTCACACACCAGAGCCACTGCTACGAACCACAGTTCCCTTCCAGGATGGACACCTGCTGATGGCAGGAAGAATTCCCAAGCTCTGCAGGAACTGAGGGACATTTTTCTGATTATTTTTTATTTCCCTGAAATCAACTCCTCTTCCTACTCTTTCTTGGGCCAATAGAAGAGGTTTCCTTGAAATTGCATCAATTCTTCTCTCTTTTTCTTTTTGAAACAGTCTCACTTTGTTGCCCAGGCTTGAGTGCAATGGCTGATCTCAGCTCACTGCAACGTCCGCCTCCAGGTTTCAAGCGATTCTCCGGCCTCAGCCTCCTGAGCAGCTGGGATTACAGGCATGTGCCATCACACCCGGCTAATTTTTTGTATTTTTGGTAGAGACGGGGTTTCACCATGTTGGCCGGGCTGGTCCTGAACTCCTGACCTCAGGTGATGCTCCTACCTCAGCCTCCCAAAATGCTGAGATTACAGGCGTGAGCCACGTATCCGGCCCCATCTATCCTTCTCTTAACAGAGAAGATTAAAGCAGATAGGCAAAATATCTCCAGTGCAAAAAGTATTGTTGCTGTCGTGAAAACAAAGGGCTTTTCCTGATGTGAGCAGCCCTTCTACTCTGGGTGCGAAAGCGGGGCTGAGCTTTACGAACAGATCAGGTGATGCGCAGCCCAGGCTCTGCTCCCACCTTTCCACCTTCTTTGATAGCGTCAACTGGAGGGAACAAAAGAGCAACAGCTCTGCTGTCTGCTGTTTCGGGGCCTGTCCCATAGAGAAAACAATCGGTTTGAGCTGTATGCCATGACATCATCAGCCACCAATCAGCACAGAGAAGGTGGAGCAGGTTTTGTCTGTGAAACCAACCACTGCGATCGTTAAATTGCAAAGGGCAGTGCAGGTGTGAGGTGGGGTTTTTCTTATATCTTTTTCTGCTTGAAACTATAGAAGAGAGTGAGAAGCGGAGGACAAAACCTTTCTAGGGAGAAAAACAGGCACCCCAAGGCTGCACCTGTGCTCTGCCCTCTCCGCCTGCCACCCCTGCGACACCGACAGTGGAAGCCTCTGTCCCAGGAGGCGGTCAGTAGCACCTGCCCAGCGCTCCCGGCCACGGACAGGGTCGGAGCTTTAGGAAAGCTGTTGACCGTTACCTGACTGCGTGTGTGCGTGTGTGTGTTTTCAAACAGGGTCCCATTCCTGTAAAAGACTTTGGTTGACATGGACATTGTTAAAACCTCTATGGAGAAACCAGTGTTTACTTGTGTGTCACAGCTAGAGGTTCTTGGGACTTGATTATTTCCAGCCACTTTTCTCCCGGAAAACACTGGCCATCTCATGAATGAAGCCGTTTAGCCAAGGTTAGAATATGCAAGGAGAGAGGGGGTGGCAGTGGGAGAGGGCACAGGGTTCCAGGAGAGCAGGGGGTGAAGGAGAACACTCACAGAGCAAATATTGTTTACAACTGCAGAGCCAAGCTAATGTGATCTCCCGCCTGTTCGAGCATATTATTACATTAAGTCCCGAACAATGAAGTCGGAGGCAGGGACAGCAGAGCCGACACAGCCTCCGCTCTGCTAATGGCACAAGGGCAACATTCCATGCAGAGTTTAAGTGTGTACCAGCCTCCTGGGAACCTAGCAGTGCTGGGCAGCAGGGAGCACACGCACCCACCAATGAGGGGCGGGAGAGACAGGCAGGTTTCAAGAGAAGGGCACTACACCCTTTCACGTGCAGCTCTAGGGGAAGGCAGGTGGGGGAAACTGCATTTTTAACTGAAAATAGGGTACAACCGAACATGTAAAGAGAAGGGCAGGCTGCTGGGTCCTCCAACAGCCATTTGAGGGTGGAGCAGGCCATGGTGGCAGATGGGGGAAGAGGCTGAGGTGGAACAGGGTTCTCCCCACAGTTCCTGGGGACCACTGGACTGTTCACTTCCAGTAGCATCACTGCACACCTCTGAGATCATCAAACTTACTAGAAATGATAAATATACTATCAAATGCCACTAAATATGAAGGTCTCACTCAGACACAGGGGGACCTTTTTTTTTTTTTTTTTAATAGTATGACCAGGTGTAAAATTAAGATTACGGCAATAAATACAGGGTCTAATACCTCAGGCTGGGCTCAGTCTATACCTATTAGGGCTGAGTGCTGTCAAGTCCAACTCTCCCTGACTCCCAGGAGAAAAGCCTCAAGTCCTCTTTCACACACCACTTCAGCCTCTATGTGCCCCCATAAGAAAGCCTCCACCCCTGTATTTCTTTCCCTTTTTCAGCCTAGCCAGTGGTGGCGTAACATGACTGCCAGCTGAGAGCTGGAGTCTGAAAGCCACCCGAGGGCCTGCGTTTTCTTCACCCTCGACCACCAATGCACATGAAAATCTAAATTTAGAGGGGAACTTGGGCACTGGCCCCCTTCGCCCTAGACCACTAATGCACGTGAAAATTTAGGAGGGGACCTTGGGGACCGGCCCAGACAGAAAGCAGGGTCCTCGGCCAGCTCCCCAGGGGCCCATGTGCAGCCAACATCCACTGTGGGCTCTAAGCACCCCTGCACAGGGCCTGTGGGAGCAGAACAGGCACCTCAAAGAAAAACAATCTGAAACGAAGGCACCAGTCAGGAAGACCTTCAAGCATTCACTCCCGGGTGTCCCCCGAGTCAAACGGCAGGGTTCACATGACGACCTGGTTTCTTACCCTGAGACGTGGGGAGCAAGGGGTAACATGCACCCCACTGCCCAGGGGGAGGAAGGGGCTTGGTAAAGACATGCACCCCACTGCCCAGGGGGAGGAAGGGGCTTGGTAAAGACATGCAACCCACTGCCCAGGGGTAGGAAGGGGCTTGGTAAAGACATGCACCCCACTGCCCAGGGAGAGGAAGGGGCTTGGTAAAGACATGCACCCCACTGCCCAGGGGGAGGAAGGGGCTTGGTAAAGACATGCACCCCACTGCCCAGGGGGAGGAAGGGGCTTGGTAATGGCAGCGGGCCCCTCTCCACACAGCCCCCGCATGCCCCGATTCCACCAAGGACCTCCCTTCTCCACCCAGGATGCCTTTCAGCCCAGCCTCCCACATCAAAGACCACTGCCAAGGCTTCTCTTCTGCCCAGAGAGCAGGGAAAGAAGGGATGAGGAAGAGAAGAGGCTGTGTTTAGCAGGAGACTGAGGCAGAAGGGATGAGGTGGGTCACACAGGCCCAGCCCCACAGGAGCACGGTCGCTCAGTGACGCAAGGGCCACAGGAGCTGACCGGCACAGCTGCTCTGTCAGGTTACAGGAAGGGGCAGACACGAGCCCAGAGGGATCCGAAAGCAATCACCTTATCAAGTTATTCAAAATTCAGACGGAAGGTCAGGACAGGAAATCCTCGCTATGAACAACAGAGTATTAAGTGGAGGAGAGTGTCACAAGCAGGTACAAATGACTCAACGCAGGCGGCACTGCCAAGTCCTTGGTGGGGTTTTCCCAGGAGTCTCCTGTGGTTGTCCCAGGGAGCACAAACCAGATGCTCTTGCCAGTTTTAACCAGAGCAGCTCCACCTGCCTAGGAGGCCAGAGAGGACGGCATTTTCCCTGGCTTCGGGAGTGGGCAGGCACCCCTACTCCCTAAAAGAACAAAAAAGAATGACAGCAGCCTCATAGCTTGTGGACCATATTAGAGCAGGCAGCACAGCTAGCATTCTGGCCCTCTGCCCTGCATTTAGGACACCGCCTCTGTGAAATGACGACCCACATGTTTATTTACTTCACACACACATGGCCCAGGAGAACTCTTTCATTTACTGTAGGGAACCACCTTATAAATGGGACACATCTTTATATGTGCAAAAGATCCCTCAGGCAAGCTTTTGTGAGAATACTGACCTGCAGTCCCGGAATGTCTCAGCACATGCGACACTGAGTCATCTTAGTGCCACACACATGTAGACAACAGGCACTGCGCACACATGTGGACACATCCCTAAAGTACCAGGAAACACAAATCCAAAACCACCAGGTGACTGGGGAAAGCTCCTCTTACCCGAAACACAGAGGAAAAGCGGCCATTCATGTGATGCTTAAGTGAGGGTGACCGACTTTCCTCTTCTCTGTTCCAAAGCTGCTCTATTCCAAGTGTGCGCATCACAAGAGGGCTGCGTGTGACCTGAGGGAGTGGTGGGCGGGTTCCTACAGGCTGCCTATTTTTAACCTCTGGTCTTTCCTGCCCCTTTCCCTGGGGAACACTCCTCCCTATGCTCTCCAGCACACGGCCCAGCTGAAGCACAGGATACTCATACTAAGCCGGAAGGTGGGTGGGGAGGGCCCTGGTATCGCCTCTCCATACTTCAGATTTCAAAGAGTATGGTCTGAGGAATTTGGATAAAAGTGGGAGTGAAGAAACTATTTAAATCACAAAGAAAGGAGGAGTGAGACTTCAGCAGAGAAACGCGGCACATCGGCTGTCTGCTGTCCATCTAAGACCAGGGCCGGGCTGCAGGGCTGCACGGCTGGACTGGCACCCTCTCCCGGCTTTGTTCTCCCAGGCCAGCCCAGAGCCCCTGCACGAATTCATCTTGCAGCCTGGGCCCTGCCAGCAAGGCCGTGCCTGCCAAGACAGCCTCTATACACCCAGAGGGGAGCGGGCCCCCCGGCGTGGCCCAACTGCCCATGAGACAGCGTTTTCCCTTCACGAAGAGGTAACTGGCAGAAGGAAAGAGGAAAAGACCTGGGTGCCTGCCTGGCTCCAAACTCCAATTTGCAGCTCTGCTGTCCCTCACCCTCCGTGTTCTGTCCACGCTGCTGAGATGGATTGCAGTGTGAGTTCTCTTCTGGTAAGAAATCACATGAACTGAACAGTGAACTCTACTCATTCTGGTTTTTTATCAATCTGTCATCGTAAAATCAGAAGTAAGAGAAGATGCCTCAATCCCCTCAAGAATAAATTTTCTTATTTCTATTTGCTCTGTTGTCCAGGCTGGAGTGCAATGGTGCCACGACAGCTCACTGTCACCTCCAACTCCTGAGCTCAAGCGATCCTTCCATGTCAGCCTCCCAAGTGGCTGGGACCACAAGTGGTGGCATGCATCACCACACCCAGCTATATTTTTTTAAGTTTTTTGTAGAGATGGCGCCTTGCTATGTCACCCAGGTGAGACTTCGCAGGCTCAAGTGATTCTCCCACTTCAGCCCCCCAATGCACTGGGATTACAGGCCTGAGCTACTGAACCCAGCCTAACTTGATGTGGTTCACCTTCAAATCGCTTCAAATACACTTACAAATTCATCCACATATACCGTGTCTTCTACGAGAAAGACATCATGTGTTTAACAGCAAAAGGTTAAAAAAAAAACCCACAACACTGCCAGTACAGGACACCAACTCTAAGGTCCCGGGTTCTCAAGCCCCTGCTCCTGTAAAGCAAGGCACCAGAGATTGAAAGCTCGGGAGGTGACCTACCAGATGCCTGTGGCATTCGCCTCCCTCCCGTCCCTGCCACCGGAAAAGAAACCACACCGCTGTATGGTAAGTCCCTACTTCGCTGCCTGCCCTGCTCTGGCATGCCCTCCACACAGATCTGCAAGCGCCCCTGCCCCCGCAGGAGGATGCGCACGAGCTGGGGAGGATGCCTCCACAGTGCGGCTACAACCTGCTGGCTCTCCGGCTAGAATCCGAGAGCTCCCAGGACGGTTACTTTGGTAGACTCCACTTCTTGATAGTTTGTTTTGTGCAGCATGGGTACTGGCAGGACATGGTGGAGTCCGGAGGTGGGGTATGGCAGGGTGGCAGTGCTCTCCCTGCCCAGCTCCTGCTCCTCCCTTCCCCAGTCCTCACACACCAGCCGCAGAGCATTTGACACCAGGCACCCGCAAGACACAGACCCGCTCCTCAGAAGCTTGGGGCTCATCCTGGAAATCAGGGAACAATACAAGAGAAGATGGAATATGAGTCTCAGAAAGTTGTCTATTTTGTTCCTTTTAAAAACAAGATTTCTCAGCCAGGTGCAGTGGCTCACGCCTATAATCCTAACACTTCAGGAGGCTGAGACGGGTGGATCACCTAAGGTCAGGAGTTCGAGATTAGCCTGATCAATATGGTGAAACCCCATCTCTATTAAAAATACAAAAATTAGCCAGGCGTGGTGGTGCATGCCTGTAATCTCAGCTACCTGGGACGCTGAGCAGGAGAACTGCTTGAACCTGGGGAGTGGAGGTTGCAGTGAGCTGAAATCGCACCACTGGACTCCAGCCTGGGCAACAGAGCAAGACTTAATCTCAAAAACAAACAAAAAACAAACAACAACTTAAGATTTCTCATACCAGCAGTCCCAGCACTTTGGGAGGATGAGGCTGGTGGATCTCAGAGCCCAGGAGTTCCAGACAGCAGCCTGGGCAACATGTTGAGTGTGACCCTATCTTTACAAAAAATACAGAAACTAGCTGAGCCCACATGGTGGCACATGCCTGTAGTCCCAGCTACTCGGGAGGCTGAAGTGGGAGGGTGGCTCCAGCCCAGGAGGTAGCAGTTGTAGTGAGCCGAGATTGTGCCACTGCACTCAAGTGAGACACTATCTCAAAAAAAATAAAACAAAACACAATTTCTCAAAGATTAACAAGAATCCAACTAATGTAACTGAACACTTAGCGCTGGCTGAGTGCATACACCCAGCTACCACTTACGGGCAAACACTGTGACACACGATTCACTTGCATTATCTCATTTTATCTTCCAAGTAACATTATGAGTATAATGTTTCCGCACTGTAGAAATCAGGCAACTAAATTAAGGTTGAGGAAGCTCAGACACAGTGAGCCATGAAGGAGAACTGCCCTGCAGAGGGTGGGCTGTTTCCGACACCTGTGTCCCTCCCCAAACAGCGCCTCACCTGGTGAGTCCAATGTATTAACTCTGCCCTCTCTTACTTTTTCTTGCCATTTCTGTCATAAACTTTGTAAGTGTGATGCCACATCTCTCCAGCTATTCCCTGTATGATCTGAAAACTTTTCAAACAAAGAGTGACTGTCAGTAAATCTCCAATACTATAGTGCCTGCTCAATGCCAAGTATGCGTCGCGTGCTGCAAAGGGTCCAAACACAAGATGGATCTGTAAAGCAGAGGACGGAACAGCCAGGCAGTGACCCCTAAGAAAAGGTGGTAAGTACGTGACGCAGGGGCAGATGCTCCCCATGTGCACACAAGGCACCTGGGGAGCCTGGCACAATGTGAACCTCGGTCCAGCAGGCCTGGGTGGGCCAGAGTTGCTGTGTTTCTAACAGGCTCCTGCGCCAAGCCCATGCTGCTGATCAACAGGAGCTAAAGTGCTTCCAGAGGGTCCCTGGGATGGTCTAGAAAAGGAGAGATGTGATCAGAAACAGCCTGCAGAGGACTGAGTAGAATCTGGAGAAGTGTGGGGCGGAGTGTCATCAGGAAGAGAGGAAACAGTACTTTAGAAAGAGGGAAAAACTCAGGCAAGGAAGAAGTACAAAGGCACAGGTCATTCACAGGATATAGATTTCTTTTTTTTTTTTTTTTTTTTTGAGACAAGAGTCTCCCTCTGTCACCCAGGATGGAGTGCAATGGTGCTATCTTGGCTCAATGCAACTTCCACCTCCCAGGTTCAGGGGAGTCTTGTACCTCAGCCTCCCAAGTAGCTGGGATCACAGGCACCCGCCACCACACCTGGCTAATTTTTTTTTTTTTTTTTTGAGACAAAGTTTCACTCTTGTCGCCCAGGCTGGAGTGCAACGGCGCGATCCCAGCTCACTGCAACCTCTGCCTTCTGGGTTCAAGCGATTCTCCAGCCTCAGCCTCCCCAGTAGCTAGGACTACAGGCGCCCACCACCACACCCAGCTAATTTTTAAATTTTTAGTAGAGACAGGGTTTCACTATGTTGGCCAGGCTGGTCTTGAACTCCTGACCTCATGTGATCCACCCGCCTTGGCCTCCCGAAGTGCTGGGATTACAGTTGGGAACCACTGCACCCGGCCAGCTGTCCATTTTAAAACACGTAACTGCACTTCTGAACTGTGCCACTTGGTTGCCAGGACTTACAGGACGACTCCCTTAGAACAGAGTTTACTGACCAGCTTGAGAATGAGTTCCGGGAGGGAACAACTGTTGCTGCTGATCTGAGGAGTCACACTCATGACAGAGGTCTTGCAGGGGGCAGCCCCGACAACGCTGCTGCTTGGTGAGGTTCAGAGGAAGAGTCACACTCGAGACAGAGGTCTTGTGGGGGGCAGCCCTGACAACG